TTCCGAGCCACATCGGTCACTATTGCGCCTCTCGCTCTGTGTTTTTGGAGGACGATCTGTTCAAATTGGGACAAAAGCAGCTGCCTTTCCAGGGGTGGAAACAACAGCATGAAGTCCTCGCGGAAACCTCAGCAACCGCGGAATCGCAGGCGGGGGTCAGAGTCCCAGCAGGCGGGGAGACGGGCGTCCGAACTCGGTGTTCCCACCGGGCGTTTTCGGAATTTGGAGAAAGAATAAACTCGACGCTCCTGCTGCCTTTCGGGGTGAGTCTCATTTGTGAGGTGCTTTTCTTGAGAAAGCCAACGCTCTCAGCTGGCTCTTTGTTGCAGCGAGTTCCCCGTGGCCCTGCCTATTAACATTGGCCTGGTGGTCCCGGTCACAGAGGGCAAGGCGCCTGCCCACGGCGCTCAGGCCGCCTTCCGCTCCTCCCCACACCCCCGTGACACCCTGCGCCATCTGTCGTCATGAAGGATGGCCTCCTTTCCATCTCTTGAGTGAGCCGACCTCCTCCCTGCGTCAGGGCCTCCGACAGGCTCTCCATCTGCCTGGAACGTGCTCCCGTCTCCCCTGGCTCCTTGCGGGCACTCCCCACTGGACTTCACCACCACTGGTCGCCTCTCAGGTTTGTGTGGGCCCCTCCGCCCTAGGCTCTCGGGGCCCCCTGCACCTCACAATCACAACCGTTATCTGTGTGATGATGTCTGCGGAGGGTCCCAGGGGCTCTGCATACAAGGACGCAGCAGCAGTCACCAGGGTCTCCCTGTCCGCGGCACAGTCTGCCGGGTCGCAGCACGTCGCCGAGTGGCCGGTTCTCCAAACTGTCAGCGGACCGAAAGCGTCTCTAGAAACGATTCAGAAAGTGGCCGGCGCTTCGCCTTCCGCGAGGCCGTCGCAAATCCCACCATCACCATGAGGGTGTCTCCTGTCATTCGAATTTGGGGGTGTCACGCTTGTGGCAGCCGAGGGTTTTCATACATGTTACGGCAAGTCTCTGCCTTTCAGGCGTATGACCTTCCACGTCGGTCAGGTCCCATTTCTCATGTTCCACTTCGCCTCGCTAGTCTCGGTCCAGGGACTGTTTTCTTTCCCGGAAGGGAGGGACACGCTGTCCATTTATTTCCCAGACGGTTTGCAACGCAAGGTAAAGCCAACACTGGGCTCCCATCCCAGCCGCCCGAGGGCTCTTCCAGACAGCCTGGGGGTACATCACCACCGTTCCCTCGGTCCCGTCGCAGTCATCAGTCCACAGAAAGTGCCCCAAGTCTCCGCAGCTGGGCTAGGATTTACGGAAAGAGTGTGCTAGCTTGCCTCACAGGGTGGGATGGAAATGCTCTCTAGTTCAGATGCCTAGGGATTTCTCGGGCGCTCAGCATGGACATGCAGACGGGCCGGCCCTCCCCCTACTGAGTTAGATGGTCCAGGCTGTGTGGACACGAACGGAAGGTGGGACGTCTGCTCAGTGGTGTGCAGTCCAGACGCGTGCCCGGGAGTGCAGGGTCTGGCTCTGTGGGGCATCACAGGGGGCACCTGCAGAGCCAGGTGTGAAACATGCCCGCACAACCCCCGGCATCCCATCACCTTCTGTCCTGGAAAGACAGCGAGTGTCTGTTAAAACAAGGACCGGCACCTTGCCCTGGAAACGTTTGGAAGAGACAGACGCACCTCCTGTCCTGAAACCCTCACGCGTCACATGGGAAAGACCTAAAAGTCAAGGTATGCCACAGCGGTTGTATCAAGAGATACACCAGGCGAAACAACGAGCTCCAAATGTTGTGAATAATTCACAGAAAAGAATTTTTGGTGAGTCCGTAACTCGGGGTATTGGTCCTGGAATGTCTCGGTCAATTCATGATTTGCTATTGATAAAGAACCGGTTTGGGTGGTTGCCCTAGCACGGTGCAAACACAGTGCCAGCACGTGGTGTGTGCCCAGTAAATATCTGCTGAGTGAATGAATAAACACTGCCTCATGCTTGGCGTGGCCTTCACAGACGCTCACGGTCACCGCGGGCCACTGCGTTCCACGCAGGGCCCTGCACGCGGAGGCCGGACGGGGCCAGGGAGCTGAGGCCCCGAGGGTGCCAAGGTTTGTTTTCAGAGCGATGGGTCGCAAAGTTCCGCCCTGTAATTCAAACCTCTGAGGCTAGGAACGTCAATAACGAACAGCCCCATCCCGACCTGGGACCAGGAAACTCTAGCCGAAGGAAAAGCGAATTTTGTTTTTCCTGGCTGGGTTCACCTTATTCGGTTTTGATTGTCTTGGATAATTTGTTAGAACTTTGCACAAGCATGCGAAAGGGGAAACTTGGAACCCGCCCTCACCAGTGGCCACAGGCCTTGTGCAGCGGACCCTAGGTCTAACTGCAGGAGAGACGCAAAACATCCCGGCACAGGAGCCTTCGGTTCTGCGGACCTTCCGTTCCACTGGCGGGGAAGAAGAGGGTGCACAGGGGACAGGGCTGGAAACGACACTGGTTTTAGGGGATTAAACTGAGTCCTTGGCTCCCCCCCCCCACTGCTTCGCTTTCAGTCTCAGGGTGTGGGGGAAGGGCGCCCGGCACAGGGCCATCCCTTTATTTGTGCAGCGGTGCCAGGCTTCACCTGCACCGCGAGGGCCAGTTGGAGCAGCCCGTGACGCCAACCACATGACACTGCCCCCCGAGCTCACGCAGAGAGGGCTGTGGCTGAGAGGTGGCGTTGACACGGGCGACAGGGAGCGGGAAGCAATCCTCCCGAAGCCACTGCCCAGTAACTGAGCAGGGTTGGGAGAGGCAGCGGGACGAACCCGGTTTGATGCTGGCATCGAACTTGGCCTCAGTACCTCTGGCTGCTAGCTCAGGCTCTGCCACGTATTAGCCATGTGGCTGTGGGTGTCCTATCGTCCCCCCGAGACTCAGTTTCCTCATCTGTAAGTAGAGATAAGCCCTAACAGTTTCCTTGAGTTTGGTCCGTGTCCCAGCAGGAGCCCGATGGCCTCATGGAAAGACGGAAGAGAGTTTCAGGAAGGGTCCCCTCTCCGAGGGGTGGGCACGGTGACCAGAGCTGGCGGGGACTGGCGACAGGGGCAGCTTTGTCCACTCATAGTTTTCAGGGCAGGGAGAGGGAGCTGCTGGCAGAGGGAGCTGCTGGCTGTGGCAGGTGCCCTCTGACCAGAGCAGGGGGTGGGGTGAAGAACACAGCTCCTTCCTTCCAAAGTGTGGCCTGGAAGGGGGGGGGTTGCTGGGAGAGCAATACTTTGACCCAGTGGGGTACTGGATCCTCCGTGTGCATCTCTCTCTAATTGCACGTGAGGAGCTTGAAATCTACCACGCTAGAATATTTACACCACAGCAATGGGCAAACACCACTATCCACGAGACTGGTGTTTTTCTGTAGAGAGCTAGTCATCACCATCACCATCGACCAGCTCACCACACTGACCTTTCAGTTCCCACCGGTACTTCGCGTTGTGTGACTCAACGGAAGCCGAAGAGCAAGGGGACAGACGACGCAGTCTTTGCCGGCCAACCCGCAGCGTGCAGAACGGGGGGACGGGTGCCGGATGAATCGGGGTTGGGGGAAGGGGTGTGGCACGCAAAAGGAAGACCGGCCAGCACATCTCTGGGGGTTGTTATGACAGGTACACAAAGCAGTGACTGTAAGCGCTCAGCACACATGGAGGTCACGGCTCACGAGAGGAGACTTCCTTGCACGAAGCAGCTGAGCCAATGACGCGAGCCTGGCAGAACCCCCGGGGCTGGGATTTGTCCAGTGTCATACACCGGGACACTCCCTTCCTCCTCTTCTCCCTCCCTCCACCCTCTGCCTGGAGCACAGATGCCCCCTCTCCTGGGGCTGGTAGCCTGGTGCCTGGTGGGAGGGAGCCCTCCCCCGCACGTTTGTCGACCTTCGACCTTCTGCTAGTAGGAAGCATATTCCACCTCGGGCATCGCGGCGGGGAGCCCACCTCTCTGGCCCATCTGTGCTGGCTGGAGGAGGAGGTCCCCTGTCACCAACGGGGCAACCCTTGTTAGAACACCCAGGTCAATGATTAGGGAAGGGGGACGATTCCCCTGTAGACATTCACGTTATCCTCACATGCAATAGCCAACAGGGTTGCCGAGTCACAGCCATCAACAAAAAGGAGAAAGAAAGAGAAGCAGACACGTTACTGAGTAGAAGTGAGGTGGGGCTTGGGTGTCCAGACCGGAGACAAGGCCAGCTCTCAGGAGCAGCCTTTGCAGCCTGGCGGCGGCCAGGGGGTCCTGGGACGGCCCCAAGACTTGGAGGTGTCCCAGGACCCAGTGCCCCGTGCACTGGCTACCGCGCCTTGTTGTCTCACTTATCCATGCGAAAGGTTGTCAGGGAAAAGACATAAAACAGAATCACGTGACAGTGTTTAGCATAGTCCGCACCTGGCATTCCATGATCACACATGAATGTGATTCCTTGTGGCCTCAGTGGCGTGTAGTTGGGCGCGGGAGCGGGCAGTGCGTCCCCCTGGGATGGTGAGTCTGAGCTGGGATGCAGAGGTGGCCATGGAAGGGCACAGAGGGAGGCTTGGGTCTTGGGCAGAGCAATGCCAGCAATGTGGACAAGGTCATCCCCAGCCCAGATTCAATCGACGTCTCTGAAAGCTAAGAGGTTGGGGCAGATGGTTACCATGGGAACATTCAGCTCCAATATTATCGATTCAAGGATTTAGAGGATCATAAAAGTGTGCCATTATCTCAAGGCCGGCCCTTACCTGTCTGAGCTGTTTATGGGGTTCCCCAGCTGGGACCCACTGGCTCTCTGCTTCCCGCGTTGGGGAGCAGCAGCAGGAACTCTCAGGGAGCTCCTTCTCCATTGTGATGGGGGGCTCGCTTCTATGACAACAGTGGTCACTCCCCAATGTCCTCCCCAGGAGAGGCTGAGGATCAGAGACCAAGCACCAGGAGGAGTGGCTCCCAGATGCGGAGAGCTTACGAGGCGATGGAGAGATGAGGGGCCGACCTCAGCCCCCCTCAGTTCCTGCAGAAGATGACCAAAGGGAGACGCTTCAACCCGCCTTTAGACAAGGACGGAAGATGGGTGAGTGATGGTGCCTGGCTTTCCTTTCCCAGGCTGGGTGGGTGTGGTGGGGCGCACACTGGCTGAGATCCTGCTACGGCTACTCACTGTGGCCTGATCTGGTAGATTACCGCACCCGGCCTCAGTCCCGCCGTCTGTGAAACGGGAACCCCGTGGCACCTCTCTCCTAACACCCAGTGTCTCGTCTGTCTCCCTCCTCCAGAATATAAGCTTCGTGGGCCCTGGACCTTTGTCTTTTTTATTCCCTGATTGTATCCGTAGGCCAAGGATGGGACCTGGTGCACAGGAGTTTCTCAGAAAACATTGGCCGTAGGAATTAATATTGTACCAGACACCCCTAACAAGTTCCTGTTGGTCCCTAAGCCGATCCCCGTAGCCCCATTAGGCTGTGAAATGGGAAGAGTCCAGACACGCAGCATTTCTCCACCTTGAGCCCTCGAAACCTTGACCTTGGCAGCGTCACGCTCGTCCTCAGACTCCTGTCTCATGGTGTCACTTGCAGAGCCCGGTGGGATTCTCCCTGCTCCGCCCCCTCCACGGAGCATTGGCTCCACACCTAAGGGTGAAGCGCCAGCCTCATGAGCGTATCCACACACACACATTCTTTCACATGCACCCCACTTCATTCCAGAGAGCTCTAAAGTGTGGGAAATCTTTGCAATAAAATAGTCAAGTATAAATAAAGATTCAGAAGCCGTTTAAACATACGTTAGAATACGAGGCTGAGACTGGGGGAAAGAGATAACATCTCTCTATAGGCCACATGGCCTGCAGAGTAGCATTTGGGCATCCGATTTGACTCTGAGTTCCCTGGCAGCCAAAGGAAAAATGGAAAACGGTGTGAACCACGTAACGCTAATCTGTGATGCAGAGGAAAACATAACGTTTCTCAGACTAAGTAGCTTCGCCTCTCCCCAAACCCTGCGATACCAGTTAGGACTGTGCTTGACTGGGTAGGTATGAAAAGCTGACAACTGACAGTGTGCTGACCAAGTAGGGTTTGTGTTTCTCAAGTAAAAACAAATCCAGAAGTTGGCGGTTCAGGGCGGTACCTATGTTCCAGGGAGTCCGAGGGGCCCAGGTTCTTCCCAGCCTTCTGTTCTGACATCCTTTGTGGGCCATGTGACTCAGGCTGGGAGAGGAGGGGAAGGTCAAAGGGCAGGGACGGAAGGCACCTGTCAGTCACATCTGCCCCTCTTCAGTGACTCCCCTCTTCCGAGGTGACCCTGTCACCACCTGCCTGCACATCCTCAGAGCCTGGGTGTGTGACAGCGTAAGGTTTGTGCGGCTGTTTTGTGGCCCTTGCTCCCCATCCTGCTCTCCTGGAGCCCCACCCTGCAGACTCTGCTTTCCCGTGCTGGTGTCCCACGGCCGCTTAGCTGCAGAGGAGTTCGGGAGGTATTTTTAACCAGCCACACTGCCGCCCGGAACAGTCAGGCGTCGGTTACCAGGGAGGAAGCGAGAACGAACGTGTCATCTCCTGGTGCGACCCCAGGAATGTGCCCGGGACCCTGTTTCAGCCGGACGGACAGTGTCTTGCAAAGTCCGTCTGACTCCACCTCCGTCCGTGGTGGGTCCTTTCGGCTGCCGGCACCTAAGAGCGTACAAGATAGTGCTGGTCCCGGAGTTTCCCCAAGGGCCTCGCAGACGAGTTGGGAAAATGAAAGGCATTGTTGGCTCGGACTCGGCCGCAGCCATTGGGAGGACAGTGGTCACCACACCGGAAGTGGCAGCCAGTCATCTGCAGTTCACCTTGCGGGGGGCGGCCGGGCTGCTGCCAGGTAGGGAGGGGTCTCCACACTCTTCCCCTTTCCGATTCAGGATTTCAGCCATCGAGCGACTGGGGGCAGCAACACTTCGCTGCCAACGGGTTAAAAAGCGATATGTCACGGTTACAGTCCTAACAGAAGGGCTCATTTCACAGTCGTCATGGTCTCACCATTAAGTATATATTTTAAGAGTGAAATTAGAATGCCGGAGCCCTGTCTTACAGCGAGTTAGTCCACAGGCTTGCAGAATGCAAACGAATCGAGGCAGTGGTCACCGGGGCGGTGGGAGGGCTGGCTGCTGACCGAGAAAGAGCGCCCGCCAGGCCGGATGGCTCCCGCAGCCGGAAGGCCCGGGAAGGCCCTGTGCTGGGCCTTTGCATGGTTTGTATTTACTTTATTATTTTTCTTTTATTTTTTTTCCTTTATTGATCTTTAGAGAGAGAGGAAGTGAGAAGGAGAGAGAGAAACATCGATGAGAGAGAACGTCGATTGGTCGCCTCCCACGTGCCCCCCACTGGGGATCAGGCCCACAACCTGGGCACGTGTCCCAACCGGATTCGAACCGGCGACCTCTTGGTGCTTGCTCAACCACTGAGTCACACTGGCCGGACTGGGATGGCTTTTAAGAGGTGCTATTTAAATAAAATTGGGGTGAGCTCTGGCCATGAGGTGTCTCCTGTACCCCTCATCAGGAATGAAGGGCTCCTTCCCCAGCTGCTGAGGGGGGCCCTCGGCGGTGGGTCCACCCGGAAGAGCATTGCCTTGCAAGGTGCCCCCTCTTCCTGGGGCAGCCCATATGCAGTGACTGATTGATGAGGGTGCACAGAGGCCCAGTCCCCTCACCGCAACTCAGGACAACCCTGAGAGGCTGGCCGGCGTCCAGGACTGTCTGTGGGTTTGGTGGAGGCCTCTGTTGGGACTACCTCCCTCTGCTCAGTCCTGTTCCCTTCCCTCCCTTTCCCATGGAGATCAAAGCCCCTCCCCCTCACCCCTTCCCACTCTACACCCTGTGCTCTCAGTAGGGTCACCTGGACCCTCCACCCCTCCTCTTGCCTGTGTCCTGGAGTCCACCTCACAGCTGCAGGAGGTTGGCTCACCCCTATGGATGTGGCCTGAATCTTGTTGCCCAGAACGGGGAGCGCCCCGAGAAGAAGAAAGATCTCAGATTTCACACGCCCGTCTTCGCGGAGTCCTGGGCTGGCTCTCGCTGGGTTAGGACGCGCCCTCCGCACCGGCGCAGGAGCGTTTCCAGGCTCCGGCGCAGTGGGGCGGCCCCTGTAACTAGAAACCAGGGCAGCGATGGCCTTGGGCCATCACAATATTTTCTGTCTTGGAAAGAATACTTAAAAATGATGCCATTGCCATCGCATGCCAGAAGCACCCAAATTGCCTTTGAATCGCCTTGCGGAGGAAGCCCTGACACTCGGCCTCGCGATTCGGCTGCGTCTGGTTTTAACCAAGGCCCGCACTGTTTTCCAGTTCCCGCACATCGGCCTGACGCAGAGCACTCCCGAATCCATCACGAGAGCGACGCTAAAGGAGCCCCACGATCCTCGTTTCTCCAGGCAGATAGAAGGGAAGCTGCCGCCCATCTACCAAGTCCGGGAGAAGGTGAGTCCTGCGTGCTGGCCACGGCTCTCCGAGTCGGGGTCCCGCTGCCACTGTGGGCCACACAGTTCTTCCTGGGAAGAAACTGCTCACTTCCATCCCTGGTCGCTGTGACACCCCCGGTCCTCTCTACAAGGAGCTACCGCCTGGTCCAGACGATCAAGTCGGGCTCGTCTGTGGACGAGAGACAAACACCTTTCTTTGGTTCTATGTTCTGCCTCCCTGGCCAACTTCCGGGCAGCTTCAGGGGCACGAAGTGGCCTGAAGGAGAAGCAGACATTGACTTTGCACTTGGCTGGCGCACCTGCCAGCTGGGCCCAGAAGACCTCAAAATCCCTGCCGGCTCTCAGTCCACGAGCTATAAACTTTTCCTTTTTTGCCTCCAAAGAAGGTGCCTGAGAGAAACGTTGAATGATTATTAGCACTAAAGGTTGAGTTTCAAAGCCTCAAGCTGAGCCTGGCCGGTGTGGCTCAGGGTTGAGCGTCAACCCTGCACCAAGAGGTCGCCGGCTCGATTCCCGGTCAGGCCACATGCCCAGGTTGTGGGCCAGATCCCCAGTGGGGTCATCGATGTTTCTATCTCGCTCTCCCTCTCCCCCCTTTCTCTCTAAAATCAATATAGAAAAATATTTTTTAAAAAATTAAAAGCCTTGAGCCACGCTCACCGACAGCCTTGCCGCCCTGTGCCGGGTGGTGGGTTTAATTCTTACTTAGGGCCCCGTGCGCTGGCTCTGACTGCGCCCCTTGCTCTTCCCCAGCAAGCCGTGCACAGCAACTACCCCTTCTCCGTCCACGACAACCGGCACATCCTCCAGAATACGGGACACTACTTTGACTCCGTGAGTATTTCCCTCCAAATTCCTCATCGGATAGGCAGCTTTTCTGGGACGTGTTGAGGTCAGAGGACTGACCCCGACCCTGGAACAAGGTCAAAATTAAAGCCTCATCATAGGGTTACCAAAAAGGATGCACTAAGCTCTCCAAGTCCCACACAGCTTTTCCCCGTCTGCGCCCGCCCTCTGCCTGGGTGTCAGTGCGCTTCATGCTTCTGAAAGCCCATCCTGTATGTCAGCTGTCTCCCTGGTGAGCGTGCCTGGGACGAGGTCATGGGGAAGGGGGATGGTCTGTGTGTGTTTCTGCATGGCGGAGCCTGACCCACATGGTGGAGTCAGACGGATGGGGAGCTTACATAACATAAAGCAGGGCTTCCTGATAACTGGAGTTGTCTTTCTCTAGAGGTGGTGAGGTCCCCGTTATTGGAGAAAATCAAGTCTGTTCACGCTGGTTAGTGGTGGTTTAATGCAGCACCGTGAGATGGGAATACATTACAAGCCATATATGTCATTTAAAAATTTCTAGTGACCACATTAAATTTAAAAAAAAAGAAATGAAATTAATTTTTATATATTTTATTTCACCCAGTAATTCTCCATATCATCATTTCAACATGTAATCAATGGGAAAAAGGAGAAACATCGTAACAAAAATAAGTTAATAAAAAATAAAATAAAAATAAACCATAAAAAAAATATTAATGCCCCCCCCCCAAATTAGTACTGAGGTATTTTACATTCCCCAAATGCAGTCTTTCAATCCAGTCTGTAGTTTACACTTTTGCTAGCTCTGCAGGTGGAATACCCACATTTCAAGGGTTCCGAAGCATCCGTGGCTAGGGGCTATTGAACTGGACGGGGCAGGGTCAACGTACCTCAGGTAGGGGGCTGTATCAGGCGACCTCAGAATCCTCACAGCATCGGAAAGTCCGTGATGATGATGATGATGTGGTGATGATAATGCTAATGTTACCAATACCCACCATTTATTAAGCATGCGCCGTATGCTATGACCACATATTATCTCATTTATTCCGCATGACAACCCTCTCAGTTCATTACTCTAAACGTCCCCAATTTAGAGATGAGAAAACTGAGAACCAGTGACGTTAAAGAGGTTTCCCGAAGCTGCCTGTCCTCTAGGATACAGTGACTAAGCCACACGGAAGGGGTTTCACCTCAGTGGTGTTAGTGCAGAACCAGAGGGTCCGCTCTCTCTACATAGATCGTCTGGGATGATGTTTTAAACTGCCGAAGTAATGTATGTCCTTTACATGTTTACGTACTGCAGGACTGTATAAAATTAAAAGCGGAATTTGCGCCCTTGTTTTCCCTCCTCACAACCTCACCTTGATGGTTCCCTAATCATGTTTTTGTGAGGCAACTTTGAGAATCTTGGCAATTCCCATGCAAACACGCACACACAAATATATATCTTTTTAATGGTGTGAACAGGATTGCACCACACATGTTTTACGAGATGTATGCTGGTCTCATAGAAAGCATTGGCAGCTTTCCAAATTTCTTCACCTTCTGGAATAGTTTGTATAATGCGTCGATTTTCAGTTTAACAAAGGTAAGATAGAATTTCCCATAAAACTATTTGTGTTTGATATATTTTTAGGGTACATTTTTTTTCACTACCTTTTCAATTTCACCCTTGATTATTAATCTATTCAAACTTTCCATCTTTTCTTGAGTAGGTTTTGCTATGTTTTTACCTAAAATTACTTATTTCATTTCAAATTGATTGGTATACTATTTTTTTAAATACTCTTATTTATTTTTTCTTTATTGATGTTAGAGAGAGAGGAAGAGAGAGGGAGAGAGAGATAGAAACATCGATGAGAGAGAACATCGATTGGCCACCTCCTGCATGCCCCCCATTGGGAATTAGGCCCACAACCTGGGCATATGCCCTGACCAGGAATCGAATTGGCACTAACCTTCAGGTGCATGAGTCAATGCTTAACCACTGAGCCAGCTACACCAGCTGGGCAAAAAAAATAAATAAATAATACTTTTACTCTGCTGTCTTTTTTTTATTATTATTATTTTTTTAATCCTCACCCGAGGACATTTTTCAATATTTTGTTCAGATAGAGTGGGAGGGAGAGAGAGAGAGAGAAACATCGACGTGAAAGGGACACATCGAGTGGTCGCCACCCACACAACCCAACCAGGGCTGGGGACAAACTGCAACCAAGGTACGTACCCTTAGTGGGAACCGAACCTGGGTCTCTCAGGACCACAGGCCGATGCTCTAACCGCTGAGCCAAACCCGGCAGGGCGAGTCTGCTGTCTTTTTAAATCTTTTTCAGTTGAATGTTTACTTCATATACATGCAACTGTTTTGTTTTTTAATTTTTTAAATTGATTTTTAGAGAGAGAGAGAGAGACATTGATCAGTTGCCTCACATACATGCCCCAACCAGGAATCAAACACAAAACCTGGGTATATGCCCTGACCAGAAATTGAACCCACCATCTTTTGGTGTATGGGACGACGCTCCAACCAGCTAAGCCACACTGGCCAGGGCTTGCAAATGTTTTTGTTAATGCATTTTTAAAACTATGAATATGCCTCAGATTATTGCTTTGGCATCCCAAAGCTTTTTCTAATTAGGAACTCACTATTATTTGCTTCTAAATAGTCTATTATTTAACTTTTTTATTTCTTTTTTAACTAAATGTTATTCTATGGATATAAAAGTTAATATCTATCGCTTTGTCCCAAGAATAAGGCAAGTCCATCAGAGTATTATTCATGTCACCTCCCTTTCTAAGGTGCTTGTGTTGGCGACTCAGGTTATGCTCTCCCAAGTCACACAGGTGCCATTCTCTTGGGATAATGTTTAAGTGGCTCCAACTTCCCATCAGTTCCAGTCTGGTCTCTCTCTCTCTCTCTCTCTCTCTCTCTCTCTCTCTCTCTCTCTCCCCCCTTCTCCATTTTTCTCTCACCTTCTTCCTCCCTCCCTCCTTTCTTTCTGTAGATTCTTAAACTTTCAGTGTGTCTCACAGTCACATCACCAGCAAGTATTTAGACTTACAAGCTGTACTTATTACTTCCTGACAGCTCTTCTCCCTATTCATTTCACACCTTCCTCTTATTTTTTTTATTTTTCTGGAGGATCTGCAAGTAATTTTGAGGGGAAGCCGCCTGGGCAGTGTGAACAGCATCTTCCCTTTGTCCCTCCAGAGCCCTCTCCCCCTTTCTCTCTGGTGTGGCCCTGGGAATGATCTGTGTGGTCTGCCTTCCTCCTCAAGCCCCTTGGACCCAGGGCCGCTGGCTGTTTCTGGGGCTCTCCCCTCACGTGTAAATCGCCCCTCTACTGAACTCTCTTTAAATTACTGTGTTTGAGCGTGCCATCTGCTACCGTGAATGGCACTGAGCCTTAGGAAGAGGCAACCTCACTTTACTAATGTAAAAAATCTAACATCTGCTTCTCCCTAGTCTCTCGTCTAAGCATAGTGTTTTCTTTTTAGTGTTCACCTAGTCATGCTCAAACCAAAAGCACCATTTAGAACGCATGGGACTCCCCGGGATCAGGGGCAAGGTGCTGAGCGTTAACAAGGAAGCCTGCGGGCGGGGTCCAGAGGTGCCGCTGTCTTCTTGCGAACCCTCTGGTGGGAGAACCCTGCCCCTTCGGACCTCTCGGAGTGAGCACCACCAGCCACTGAATGCTGGGGTGCCTCCAGGGGAGGGTGCTCTGAGGAGGCCCCTGGGTGCAGAGAACCTACCTGGGGTGCTAGGGGTCCAGGCTGGTCCATAGGCTAGTTCCATCTGTGGACTTGCTGGTTCTACCCTCCGTGTCTCTGGAAGTCCAGCCCTCTCGTGGGAGTGAAAGCCCTCGAGAGCATAGCAAAACAGCAGCACATTTTGGGTGTTGATGGATAGCCTTCTGCAGGTTGGTGAAGGGAACCTCTGTAATGGTTGCCATCTGGTGCATTTATTTATTTATTTTGATATGTTTTATTGATTTTTTTAGAGAGAGAGAGGAAGGGAGAGGGAGAGAGATAGAAGCATCCATGAGAGAGAACATCGATTGGCCGCCTCCTGCATGCCCCCCACTGGGGATCAGGCCCACAACCTGGGCATATGCCCTGACCGGGAATCGAACCACTGACCTCCTGGTCCATGGGTTGATGCTCAGCCACTGAGCCACACCGGCTGGGCATCCATATGGTGCATTTAAACACAGGGCGTCACGTAGCTGGTTTTACTGAAGACCTCAGAACTGTGTGACCTTGAATATTTTTCTCCTAATCTTCTTGATTCTTCCCCAGGGCCTGGGACGTAGGAAGATCCCCCCAGAAAAAAGGCAACATGTTTCAAGAAATTTCAATCTCTGGGCGTGTGACTATGTTCCATCTTATCTTGATGGCTTTTCGAATAACCAAATATCGTACGTCTATCAGGAAGCTGTGATGGTCCCCGTTTTCGGACGCTTTCCGCGACGTTATAATGAGATATGGAGCACGCTAACCCTTGTTCCCCAGAGGCGCTATGCAGAGTTTTTGAAAAAGAATCCGAAAGTAAGGTTCGCTATTGACAAAAAGCCTGACCCCTCGTTGGAGCTCTAACCCTTCCGGAAGATTACTGACGAGTTCTGTACCAGCTTTCCACTGGACACTGGGCCAGCACCAGCGTGTAACATAAATAGAGATTGTGTATGTCTTAAGGCTGAGGTGGCGTTTTCTTGTAGTGAGAACATAGAGACCCAAGTCCTTAAGTGAAGAAACCAGAAAGGCAACAGAGTATGTCCCTACACCCCCACCTTTAACATATTTTTTATGATTTTTATTTAGATAGCAAAACATTCAAGTCCTTATAAAATAAAAATATATGAAGATATACACATTTTACATGAATGCATTGTCAATAAACTGAATGAATTTTGCAATGGCCACATGAACTTTTGGGGGAGTTTTTAAAGTTATGTAATTAATATGTGGTTACATTTTTCACTTCGAAATTTCAAACAATACCGAAACAGCAGGTGTGCCCCTTTGTGTGACCACATCTGCCATCCTTGTCCTGTCCTCTTAAGTAAGTTAGCCTTCATTTTTTATTCTGTGCATTTACCACAGACATGCAGAACTGCATAAAAATGTAAACGTGCGCTGTGTTACCAGCATGTAGCGTTCCGTAATGTCCTTTTGATGTTTCACAATGGAGCTTGGAGTTCTTACAGTGTCCATGTGAACAGACAAATTTGCTTTTTTTTAAATCCTCACTCAAGGATTATTTCTCTATCGATTTTCAGATAGAGTGGGAGAGAGAGGGAGATACATCGATAGGTTGCTTCCTGCATGACCCCAACCAGGGCCGGGGATTGAACTACAACCGAGGCACATGCCCTTAACTGTAATCAAACCCACGACTCTGTTCCACAGGCTGACACTCTAACCTCTAAACCAAACCGGCCAGGGCCAGACGAATTTGCTATCTATCTATCTATCTATCTATCTATCTATCTATCTATCTATCTATCTATCTATCATTTATCTATGTTTATTTATTTTAGGTTTTTATTGATTTTTTAGAGAGAGAGAGGAAGGGAGAGAGACAGAAACATCAATGTGAGAGAGAGACATCAATCAGCTGCCTCCTGCACGACCCCTACTGGGGATCAAGCCCACAGCCTGGGCATGTGCCCTGACCAGGAATTGAACAGGGACCTATCAGTCCATGGGACAACGTTCCATCCACTGAGCCACACTGGCCAGGGTTGAGTTTGCTTTTTATTTATTTATTTTTTAATCCTCACCTGAGAATATTTTTACATTTATCTTCAGACGGAGTGGGAGGGGGAGAGAGAGAGAGAGAAACATCGATGTGAGAGAGACACATCAACTGGTTGCCACCCGCAGAACCCCAGCCGGGGCCGGGGACGAACCACAACTGAGATACGTGCCCTTGGCCGGAATTGAACCCGGGACTCTTTGGACTGCAGGCCGACGCTCTAACCGCTGTGCCAAACTGACCAGGGCTGGATTTGCTTTTTAAACTGTTGCACTTACTCCCTGATACTGAGCGCCATAATTTTTAAAAGTATCTTCGTGTTAATGAGAGTTTGAATTGTTTCTAATTTGTGGCTGTCAGAGCTGGCGATACACGAACACGCTTGGCCAGACTCTTGGTGAGCGTGTGCACGTGGGACTCTGGAGTGAGCTCTGAGGAGTTGCCTGGTTAGTGCTGCATCGGGCTTTGTGCTCCGGGAAAGTGTCAATAAACACTCCCAGACTTCTCTAGGGAAAGACTGGACCGATGAATGCCTCCCGACAGCTTCCCGTTTCTCCCACCTCAAACTATTTTTTAGATACTTAAGGATAGATATTTAGGGACAAAACCAAATGGTATCTTGATATTTTTTTAAATTTTATTTTGCATTTCTCTGGTTATTCATGAAGTTGAGCATCTTTTCCTGCCGGGTGGGCATTTATATTTCTGTTCTGTGAACCGTCACCGTCACCCACACCCCGTTTCTTGTTCATATTTGGATATTTTTCTGATAGATGAATTTTAGAATAAGCTTGTCAAGTAAATCCATTGGCCATTTCATAAGAATTTCCCTGGATTTAGATACTGATTTATGGGAGAATTGACATCTTCATGCCATGGTGTAGCTCCCCATTTATTTAAATCTTATTTCATATTCTTCAGTCCAGTTTTATAACTTTCTTCACATAGGTCTGATATGTTTCTTTTCTGTTTTTTCCTGCACATTTTGAACTTTTGTGGCTATTGTGAGTGTTATTTTTTGACGTTCCACTGTTGGTTTGGCGTAAGAAAGCTTTTGATTTCTGTATGTAAATCTTGCTAAAATTTTAATAAACAAGCACATTCCAATACTGTTTCGGTGGATTCTCTTGGATTTTCTATGTAGGTGGCTGTCACTTGCAGAAGTGAGAATTACACCATCTTTCTCGAGCCCATACCCTCCCCCACAGGGTTCCGTGGCGTGAGCTCCGCGTGGTCAGTTCTCTGAAAAGCGAGGCCTCTGCCCCGCAGGCAGGCACACTGCTCTCCAGGTGCGTCCCTTCCACTTCCTGTCCCGCTCCCAGGACGTCCTCGTAGCCCGCACTCCCTGAGCCTCTGCCTTGCCTCCCCTTCCTCTGCCCAAACACCAACAATCTCCAACAAGAGGGGCCCCAAATTCAATTTACTGGAGGTGCAGTTTTATAAAGCACCAAAAAGGTACACAGAACCAAATCTGCAAGTATGCGAAGGAGAGACGTGGATGGGGGAAGACGTCCCGCCCTCTCCTCTTTGGGATTCAATTGTGGCAGCGGGGGAAGGGGAGAAGTCACCATTTATAAAAACACAATTGAGGTGACTTGCCCTTAAACACCAATCTTTCTTCGCTTAACTGTTTTCTGCATACAAAGTAAACCTCGCCATCTGTGACGTCCCAGTTTCCAATCCAGTGAACGGAGAAGGAGAGGATACAGCACGTCAATGGAGGGGTAGGTCTTGGGGGCGCCAGGGTTGACGCCCCCCAACACAACAACCCAGTTTACAAAATGAAAAACGTGGCGTGATGCCGGTGACTTGCTGCCGTGGTTGGTTCTTTGCTTAGCGTGTTGCTTGGAACACAGGAATCAACAGCCGATTGTAGAAACCCCAACTTCCTAAGCAGTTGCATGCAGGTGTTTATAGATTTCTTCTGTTCCGATGAATTAGGCTGGGACTGGTGCCACCCTAGAAAGGACGTAGGCACTAGTGCAGCTGATGGCTTGCTCAGAGCGTCCCTGAGAGACGCTGCCCGGTATCCATCCTGGAATGATGGCTGGACGCTCCCCTTACTGTGACCATAACAGGCATGAGCGGAACTACCGTACTACGAAAGGCTGAGACACGACCGTCAGAAGGGCAGAGTGATGACGCTTTATATATAGTCCACTCTTCTTTTTTTTTTTTTGGTTAATCCTCACTGAGGATATTTCTCCATCGATTTTTAGACAGAGTGGAAGGGAGGGAGAGAGAGAGATGTGAGAGACGCATTGATGGGTTGCCTTCCACACGACTCCAACGGGGACCGGGGATCGAACCTGCAACCCAGGCATGTGCCCCTGACCAGGAATCGAACCCGTGACCCGTTGGCTCTCGGGCCGACACACCAACCACTGAGCCAGACTGGCCGGGGCTGTAACCCACTCTTAAAAGCTGCCTATTTCTAGTCAGAGAAGCACATTCTCAGCGGGTCTGTTTTGACATTTACAACGGATTTTAAAGATGGCCTCTCTTTGCTTTGGCCGTTTTGCGGCTGTCTTTGGCCACAGCCGTCTCTGTCCTGGTGGCCCCGGATCCAGATGTGGTGACTGTGTTTCTCCTTCCACAGCTGATGCAATGGCCAGTCCGGGAGCCCCACCCCTTTTCAGGTCACTGGTCCGCTGCAATGCCAATCACAGCTCGGGACACTCCGCACCGGGCCCCGGGTCAGGGGCAAGGACACTTCGTCCAGTCCAATGAAATGTTTTTAACCTGGAGAACTGGCACCCCACTGAGGGCCCCTGGGGAGACATGGGTGTGGGGGAGGAAGGGCTTGAAGGGATAAGCTAAGTATAGGGTCCCCATACGTTCTGCTGAGTTCGCGGAAGAATCCACGCTGTTGTGGGGACACCCTAAGAACCCCAAGGCAAGAAGAATCCATTTCCTCCTCCAGCCTCTTCGCTGCCACCCACATGTGGCCTTTGATCCCCGTGTGGTGTCTCGAGCCAGTGGTTGGGGAAGACCCCCCGCCCCCTTCAGCTTGGCTCTGGGCTTTTCTCTGGGTGGAGTGCGGCTGCTACTTCCAAACGCACAGGGTAGTCGCTGTGCGAATCCTGTGAAATGCTGGGAGCTGCCTAGACACGGACCTATCACAACAAATGCAAACAGCTCATGGAACAGAGTCTTTAAGTAAATACATTACAGACACACCCAAATAATTCCCCAAATACTAAGCAACAAATCAAGCCCGTCAGAGCCTGGCTCCCTGAGTACATGGAACGGAAGAGGCTGTAACTCACGTGCCTGGCTTCGCTCTACGGAACTGCTGGGTCTGCTGGGTTCGGATGAGCCTTCTGCACAGAGAAACCAAGCAGCTGCAGGTGCTCCGTTCTCCCTCCCAATCGAAACCCAACACACAAGTCCTCCGACGGAAACACAGGCTCACGACCCCATTTTCCTTCCTCCTTAACCTCCGCCGGCCCAAGTGGGAGCCAGCCTGACATGTTCCGACCCAGGGCCATTGTCCTTACTTCCTGGGGCACCGCTGTACACAGCCCGAGCAGAGCGGACTTTCTGGACAATGACAATGCAGCATGGAGTCGCTGCCGGCCACGACAGTTACGTCAAGACTGAGGTAAGGGGGTATAACAGGAGCCCCTTAGGAGGGGCCTAGAACTCCCCAAATCACAAGTCTGGACACTTGGATGAGGGCTCCCTCTGGACACAGACACGAGTGGACCTCCACCCCTGGTGGGCAGTAAGCACCCAGAGCTCCAACCGCCCCACACTGGGGCCTGGCTGTGCCACGGGTCACACTCTGAGCCCTGCCGGACTGCCCTTCACTGGACACATGTCGCCCCTGCCTGGC